ACGTTAAGGTATAGATTCTGTACTATCATTGACTTCTTAGAAGGGAAGTTCAGAGATGACATGGCCTATAATATGCAATTCTGCATCAGAAACAGAAGTTTGGTAGTTTGCTCAGCAGATGCAAGATGGGTTTGCAGTGTGGGTTTGACAGAACAAAAAGAAGTCATTGGCCCAAAATGATTGGCGGACCAGCACAAAATGTGTAGCCACAGGACTGCTGCCTATCGCATGACATAAATTATTTGCAAGACTAACAGTAAATATTTTGCCAAGAATTGCTTCAAGGCCCTAACATTGGGTTACTGCCATTAGTGATGCAGGGTCCAGGCACGCAAGAGAAATGCTCTTTACCTACATCATCTTGCAGTCATAGCGAGGGTGACGGTATGTCACAACAAGGCCTCTGTCACTGTGGGATGGCATCTGTAACAGCAATGTTGTGCACTATTTTCACCTATTTTTAACACTGCATTATTTATTCTTCTCGTCAGTAAGTGATGGGTTTCCTGATATTTACAAGTCTATTTCCAGCCTAAGATGGGAGCCATAGACTCTTCTTTCTTTAGAAAGCACACACTCAGCAACTCATTTTGCTGCTGAATTATGTTTTTAACAAAAGCCATACAGAAAAAAGATAGAAGGAAAAGCCAAGCAACCAGACCTGGAAGCCGTGGCATATCATCTAACTGTTCACAAAACCCAGAACTCACGTGTGAGCATTCATGCCAGACACTGTGGAACAGGGAAATAATATCAAACTCAAATTTTAAGCTTCATCAGACAAACATCATTGGCTTCCTTTGCTCTTACCTGTCAGGCACCACTGTTTACACTACATACAGCTGGAAGATTTACGTGCAAGTGGATTAAAGAGAACATGCCCTTCCTGGTTCACCCCGTGACTGGCCAGTAAGTCCCAGATTTCCTTAGTATCTCTTTTGACTGTGAGACATAGTACCCTTGAAATGAAACTGCTCATGCTGGCAGAGACACAAAGGTCACTGGAAATGACTACAAATGTGGTAGCAGAGCTGAAGATGGCTGTGCTGGCCATCACAGTTCTCAGGTAATTAATCAGCAACTGAACCCAGTTCTGTCAAATTATTCTGTTGGTTTTGGCTGAGGAGTTTTGCCAGACTTTGCATGTGGTACAGTTTGATCTCCTAACAACCTCTGAGTAACCAAAGAGGCTGATCTTCTAGATCTCCTCACAGAACTTTTCTCCTTTTCTCCAGGTGATCTAGTGAACTCAGCCCATGAATCCTGAACAATTGAAGTTCCCGCTAAGAAAATAAAAAAGTGTATTACATTTTGAAAACTTTAAAGGATTCTCCTACATTTTCCATGTTACAGCTGAGTTGGAAATAGACACTTCTACCATTTTGCATAGCATGTCTAGGATTTATATTTTTAAACAAAGTTGTCAGACTACAGGTTTGGGAGCTGGCAGAAAGGTTTTAAGTGCCCTCTGCCTGACTTTCAAGTGCATAGGGAGTAGTGTATGAAAATTACAACTACTGAGTATCTCTTAGTTTGTCTGGGCAGGCAGATACTCTTATCACTGAAAGCCATCTTCACAACTGCATGGATGGGAGAGGAAGAGAGAGGAAAAAGAGACTTCGTGGAGACTTCATGGAGAAATTCAAAGTACAGTGCAACACTGTGCATGGGAAGTATGTCAGATCTGATGTCTTCTCCTGCCCACTGAAATGGTTGTTTCCTTGCTCTATTTGGTATTGGACAAACTAATTACCTTAAAAACTGTATTTTGAATCACCATGAACAAATTTCTAAAATGAGTGGGGATTCTAAATGTCCTCAGTAAATGTGTAGTCTTTCATGGAATCCTGTAAATGGTTATAGAAACACCTGGGAAGGGCAGCTAGTTGTTCAGTTAAATCTCTGTCCTGAGGTTCCATCCTATGCTCTGGGTTGTCATTATGGGACAGGAAGACAAGGAGGAAAAAGATAGCTTTATAAATACATACTCTGCTACTTAAAGCAGGACATACTTCATGCAATATAGCCTGTATTTGTCACAGCCCATAAATCTCATTTCTGAAATGTCTCCCTAAACATAATAAGGTACAGGTGGCACCTACCATAGTGAGAGTCCTTTTCTCTTTCTTCAGGCTGCTTCTTGTGTCCATTTCAAAGTGTGCTTGAGGTGCCCCTTAGCTCATTCAGCCATACAGACTTGTGGGTTTCAGTGCAGCCTGATTCTGAGGCTCTGTCACAATCTCTTCCACAAGTGACCCCATCCCACTATTTTTAGCCTAAAAATTGGACTGCTGTTTGAAGGACATAGCTTTTTGTCTGGAGAAGTTCATTAGAGAAGTCCATTAGAGAAGGACCTATACAAAATGTATTGTTGGACTTGCAACACCATCCCTTGACCTTTAGTACAGATTTTTAGATAATTTTACATGAAAGTACAGCATCTGAATAGCCCTGGGGATTGAAATACATATGGGCAGAAAGACCCTGGTGAGCAAATGGGAACTAGATACAAGAAGACAAAGGAAGACAAAGGCAGGGGTAAGAGGTGGTGGTGGTGGGCTGCCCAAACACTATCTTCACTCTGTGCATGGCGTAAGTCAGGGAACACAGCATGACTTACTATTGTGCTCAGCTCTAAAGCACACTGAATTCAGCTTGTGTTCAGACTGTGCCTCCCAACCCATGTGTTCATGACCCCCCATCCCAAGACATTCTTCTGTTTGAAGCAATGAAGAGAATAATGCTCAGTCAACGCGCACAGGCAGACAATCAGACAAGAGTTTGCACCTGCTCTAAAAATTTCCACATTGGTTCCTTAATGAACCATAAAAACCAATGGGCAACTCTGCCCTTAACAAGAATAGAAACCCTGGTGCTCTGCATTAAGCCACTAACTACAGTTTTTTCTCATCTCATCCTTTAGAATTTCGATCACTCCCTGCAGAGAGTAGTTATGATAATTTTCCAGCTAAGCATGGACATTGCCTACAAGATTTCATTAATTTTTTTCCTGTAAATCACACACTGGATGAGATGAATAAGTACTTTGAAGAAGTACTACTTATCTTCTTTCTTAGGTTTGCACATGATATTACGTCTTGATCATATGACTGGAGTATACTATTAAACAAGATCTGAGACTTGGAGAAAACACTTTGATATACACATCTAACCAAATATCTTGGTCATATTATTTCATTGTATTGTATTATTTTTGGCTCAGTAGGGAGGCATTTCTGTGAAGCTAAATGGCCAATAAGGTACAGAAATCCACATTGTCTATCTAATGGTCTATTTGTTCTTTAAATCTTTGAAGTGAGAAGTCTGTGGTTCTGAAAGTGCTCTTTTGAAATCAATAGCCTACTTGTGGCATTAAGTGCCACTCAACATGGATAAGTGTGACCACATGTCCTGTCATATATTTCAAAAGGAAATGTTTTAGTTGCAGATTTTAAACAGATTAGGTATCCTGGAGGTAGCTCATGTTAGTAGAAAACATATCTGACGACTAAACTTAATAGCTGTTTAACTGAGTAGATTATGTGACTATAAATTTTCTTTCTTGAGTCAAATTATCACTGCTAGTTCTAACTGCATTATAATACACTCTTCATAAACTTGATATATTTGTCATTTAGTTGCCTGGAACATCAACTTGCAAAGAAATTACAGGTTAATTCAGATGATATAAAGCAATGTCATAGCAGAGAGATTTCCAACTAATTACTGTTTTTACTTCAGAGGCAGTATCTCCTGTGACAATTCACTCTTGAAGCAAAAGATGAGCTGAACTCTTTTCAAAAAAGTTGGAGTACATTTGACAACATGAATATCTACCTACATAATAACATGATGGCTGCAGCTATTAATGTATAATTACTTGAAAGTGTTGTTAAAGTGTACTTGATGGGATTCACATTTAGGTGTGAGAAATCCTTTTAAATATACTTCACTGGTTATAAAAATACTTATAAAGTATTTTTTATCAGCTCCAGTACCACTCACTACAGCAGTTCTGGAGCTGAATGTAATTCTGACAGGCATTTTCATCAGCAAAGCATTCAACAAAAACAGATGGTTAAACAAAAAAGTGAGTGTAAGGTCCTCTGGTCTTTGGATTGCAGAACCCTGTATGTATACATCACTTTCTTGCTCAGTGAGAATCACATGAACTCAGTTAAAATCTGTGTCTTGTCAAAATTTCATTTGCCTTTCCATAGTCTTACGAGTACTCTTAGCAACCCATAAAGGCACTTTCTGAATAAAAGTCTGAAGCACCCTTTCGTCCTCCAGCTTAACCGTGAAAAAGATGTCATTCCACATTTAGTAAACATGGACCAACTGTCAGATTAATGGATGAGTGCATGTGGTGTATGTGTATAAAAAAAGAGGTAATTTTTGTTGCCTCATTTTAGTGACACAATATAAGATGTGAATGTGATTTTTTTCCCATTATTGCACATTGTAAGGACATAAAATAAATTTCCAGACTTATCAATTCTGAGAGTTGCTGAGAAAGTAACTGGCTGAAAACAGATAGTTTCAGCACTCTGGCATGTAATTCCCTTCTACAGTTTACCTTGATGGTGGATGCAACCAGAAGCAGGTATTTACCATCACAACTACTTTTTTTTTATTTCCTTCTGGTTTTTCTCAAATCATTGTAAAGGCAATAAATATGAGATGCCTCTGAACACTTCTCACCAGTAAAGAACTGCAAAAACAAGTTCAGAATGACATCAGCTAGGAAAATAAAGTAATCGCTTGTAAAAAAATACACTTACTTTGCACCAATTTTAAAAACTATCTGCTTAAATTTTTGCTTCATTTGAATAACTCTGTATATAACATCTGACTGCCATTATTACTTTTTGACAGCTTTTTAAAGTACTGTGAGATTTTGTAAAATTTAATGTGGAAAATAAAACTGGAAATTTATATGAAAAACTAAGAAAAAAAGTGTACTTTGAAAAAAATAATGTAAAAGTACAAATGCTTACCTTTGTGTTTGGGTAGCATAACTGTTATCATATGCCTCATAGCTTGGATCATCATATTCACCCCCATACCCATCATCGTATCCCTAAGGGAAAAGAAAACACAACTTAGAAGAGTGATAAATCAAAGGATATTATCAAGCTGTGAAAATAACTTCCATCAACATATGCATGGTGTGTTTGCTCAGTATTGTGTAAAATATGTAGCTGATTGAAGAGAATTATGAATTGTGAGGCACAACCTGTAAAGTGCAAGGGTAAAGAAATCAGTTACTCATTTAAGAACTCAGCTTATTCACTGATAAACTGTGGTGCATTGTCCAAACCACGGTGCTCCAGTGGGATCTGTGTAGAATACTGATGAATGATAATAAAAATAATAATCTCCTGGCAGTCTGTTATATAAATAGTTCCATAAATACGTATAGGTGAAATGAACAAATGGCAGGTGATTACACTATTAAGAATTTTATTGTGACAAAATCTTAATATTCAATCTATTAAAAAAAGAAAAAACAAACAAAACAAAACATAACAATCTATGAGAAACAATATTTGCAAGCAAGTAATGCATTATGATATTTTAAAATAACTTAGAGTAAGCACCTTTTCCTTCACTGAGCATCCCACTCTTTTTAAAGTCAGGCTTTTCTGTGACAACTTAACAGACGTTTTAGTGCAGGTTCCTCCCATCTAACTTAAGGGTCCTTACTGAAGCGCTCAGACAAATGCTCAGTCTGCCTAAGGTAGAGAGACATAAGTGACTTCAGAAGGTGGTTCAGTTCATCTAATGTCTGAATATTCCACTGAAGGAACCGTGGGTAGTTATGATCCATTGTAGCTGACTCTGAACCCAAGAGTGCTCAGGAACCAGACAATAAATAAATAAAGATATAATCCAAGGATGCCTTTTAATATGCTTTTCTTGTATGACAGGACAACAGAATAGGCAGGAAGAAGGCTGTATGGAAACACTTTTTTTTCTTCTTTATGATTTTTAGAAGTCAGTATTTTTAGTTAAATAGAAATTAAACATTTTTTTGTCATAAGGAAACCCATTAAGGAAAGTACTAAAGGAAATAGGAGGCTTAAAAATCTTTGACTCAATATTAATTACAGCAGAAGGCAACTTTTTCCCCCCACAAGCTATGCAAAATTTAGTTAGATTTGGGCAGAAGGGACAGCATGATGCAGCTCCAAAATAACAGCAGTCCAATAAACAATCACTCTAGTACACTATCGTAACCAAAGTACAGTGTTGGTTTGGTACTTCATTATTTCTGCTAAATAAACTCCATAATGGTCTTGAACAAGACTTCACTGGCACTCCCGAATTAAAGAAAACATGCAATGGAGGAAGCATTCAGTTATGTCTCCTTAGGTCAAACATATTAAATCTACCTGTTCCTCTGGTGTACCCAGCAACAAGGACAAGTGTGGATTCCAGGTGGGAGAGTTCATCCCTGTAGTGCTGTATGGCCTGAAGGAAGGACAGGACTCCAGATGGTGACCTCACTTCTCAGGCACCAGGTCAGCTTGCAGTAAGGGAAAGCCTTTCTGAGCAGGAGGAAGAGTCCCATTTTGGGACTGGGGAATGGCCTCTCCTAGAATCTGAAGTCCACACGAGCCTCATCATCTTCCACTTCAGGTGGAAGTGTAGCGGTTTGACTTGTTAATATTAGTAATAGTTAATATTAGTATAAACTCATAGCAAAAAGTACTGTTAAAAACATATCCCCGCACACCACAGTGATATACTGAATATTAGATAGCTAGATACACAATCTTGCTTCTGAGGATAGGATGAAAAAAACAGTGAAGCCCAGGAGACAGATGTTAACCACACAAATTAGTATGCTACTGGGCAGGATCCTGCTACTGTGATGAAGAGGATGATGCAAGTTCCTATATAAAGTCAAATAGCTAGAGGAAAGACATTTCAACCTGCTTACCCACCATATGAGAGAATGAGAAAAGCAACAATTACAAATTAGCTCTCTCAGTTTTTTGATGCCTGAGATGGATCAATGTTCAGCATCAGCAGGGCAGAGAACACTTGTTAATATTTGACACCTCTGTGGGTTCATGTTATAGATTTTAACAGCCTCCCTAAAGGCTCAGAGTATGTCAATACAGTGCAAATGGTTCAAGTGGAATGGCTGGAAAACAAAGTAAAAAACCACAATATCTCTTTAATAAAGAAAAACTATTTTCTGGATAATGTTCATTTATTTGTGCAATTCTGTATGAGAATTATCTCCTAATCCTACAGGTGAAGTGTTTATGTAAGGTACATACACGCAGTTATTAAAAGTTTAATATGATGTATTGTACCCAGACACCTACCAAGCCTTTAGGTGTCTAGAACTGAGACCCAAAATAGCTCCTTTCACATCCTTAAAGTGTCTCAAACTCACTGAGCATTTTTCTTCTCTTTAACATTCAGCTCCCCAGAACCTACAACTTTAATGTTTGAAAGTATTTCTTGGATGGGCACTTTGAGAGATGAAACACCCAGCTCCCACCTGTTGAGATCAAAAGCTATGAGTTCGATAGTGTCCAAATTAACATATTTTGTGCTCTCTGTGTGACGAGAAAGGTGTTCCCAAAAGCAATTCTGTATAAACCCAGAGACCAGAACCCAAGATAACCTCTCCAAATGCAGTGCAATTTTCTACTCAGCACTAGAGTCAGACTACTTCATGCATTCTCTAGGTCTGTTAGGCCTTATATTAAAAACAAGCAAACAAACAAACCGTATTAAATTGATAAATGTTCTTTATATATATGGTGATAGGAACAGAGCCTTTCTCTTAGAGAAACTAAGTTACTAGTGCTTGCTTTACCCTCAGCATATTGAAGGAAAAAGGATTACCTACACTGTCAGTGATTTGAATATGACATTTGTTCTTCTAAAATTTCTACAGTTTCATTTATTTCACCAGAATTTCATTTATTTCACCAGAATGTCAATAGACATTCCCTCCTATGTTAAGTTCTAACACCTTTTCATTGAGGTCTGTGCTTTTCAAGCAGAAATACTCTTGGATAAAATGTCTTTAGACATGATCTGATCAAGATCTCCACGTTAGTCAGAATATTAGAAAACTTGTATAAAAAGTTGATAGGTTCAAGTCATTTAGTTTCAGTGAAGGAGAAGAAAGCAATTCCCTAAATTTTCAGAGTTCTTTGATGAGGCTAATGAGGGTGCAGATGAGCATAACCTGAGGGAAACAGCATCTTTTGAAAGTTACTGATGAATTTTGATGCTCAGGGATATTCAAGGGAATGTGGTTGGATGCCTGGGAAGACTCTTTTCCTGTGTAGGAATGGTAGCTGCCACCACCATTCAGAATAAAAAGCCTACCACAATGAACTGGAAAAAAATGCAATGGGGAACTATTAGAAATAGTCAATGTCAAATGTCAATGTCAATGTCAAGTGACAACAGACATTTCTAGGGTAGGTTTTTGTGCCAGGTTATCTTTTTTCAGGTATTTCTTACTAAAACAACTTTCCCAATCATAAAAAAAAAAACAAAAAGACCTCTTCAGTTTGTGTCAGGGAAAACGAAAGTTAGTCTTCCAATGTCTAGGATTTGGACTGGAGACAAAAGAACAGAAATGTACATTTGAAGCTGCAGTGGGACTAAGAATGTTTATAAATAATTATGGATGATTTTGAGGAATTTTGGTATTGTTAAGAGTTGAAAAATAATAACAAAAAAGATGAAAATTAAGAAAAAATTTAAAATAGAGCTCAATTTAAAAAAAAAGATTTATTTGAAAATGAGCAGATATAAATATTTACCAGTCTTTCCCCATAAAGTGAAGACAGGAAAAACTCTTAGAAGAATCTCAAAACAGCATCTGAAATTAGCATTAGGAACACTCAATTCAGGAGGAAATATTCAATACTCTACTACTGATAAAGAAAATTATAGTCAGGGGCAAAAGGGGTGTAGAAGTCAAAAGGGACATATTTTGAAAAAGGCTTATATTCTACCACCTGAGAAAAAGTTAAGTATCAATTTGATTCAATACTCAAAACACCATTGAGAAGGATTTATTTTAACTATTTAGATTTACTCAAATCTTAAATTTTCAGATGCTGAGATATTATAAATACAAACAAAATTTTAAGTATCATTAGTTACAAGGGTATGATAATATAACACATATAAACTTGAACTTACTTCATAATGTTAAGATCCTGTTTCAAACAATAACAGCCCACACTCAAATGCACCAAGTTTAAATCACCTCTTCTTGAATAGCCTTAAAAACAGATTTTTCAGAGCACTGAAAAACTCTGTGAAACCAAGAAGGACAATATTTCCAATACTTCTAATGAAAACTGCTTTATTCACAATATTTTAGGTATGTCCTAGTAATACATAATAAAATACATTGTAAGAAAATTGAAACTTATTTGTTTTTTATAGAAAATAGCCCAACTTTTTAAAAAGTAGCAAATTTCAAAATATTTAGAATTAATTAAATAGATAAATAAGCAAAACACAAACAACAGTAAGTCAAAATAAAGTGAATTATGCAACCCAGTACTTTACTTGGCAAATATGTGAACAAGAAAAATGTGCTGCTGGATAACCAGAGGAAGCCTTCTCATTAACTGCATCCAGCAGCACACAAAAAGTAGTACTGTAGCTCATGAGGGAGAAGGTGAGGGTATAAATACCCACCTCTAATTGTAACTATTAAGTAGAAGAAGTTTTTTCTCAGAAAAGGGACCTTTGCCGAGTTTTCAGTCTTTTCTTCACCTTGTTTCTTTGTTGCTGTCTCACTCTCTTTTCTGTTGTGACTTGGCCACATTCCTACTTTCTCACACATCCGCATCACCTTAGCTTAGAAGCTAAAAGCCAGTCGTTTACCAGTAACCTGTAACCTGGCAGTAGATTCTCATAAGACTCACAGGGTAGAAATAAAATATTTTTAGATGATAATTAATACTTTTTAGACATATCTGAACCGCTCTTTAAATGAGAACTTACTTTCCAGTAACTATAAAGGGAGCCCGGGATGCATGTGTTAGATTTACATAACTGACATTAAGGTATGCAAGTTAG